CTGGTAGAAAATCTTGTTCGAGGTGGTTGTTCGGGCGATTGAGGAAGATGTAAGCAAAGATGTTCCCGACGATATTCAGCAAGGAGATGTCTCAATGATTGTCTCAGAGTTGGCGGTTACCTTTTCGCATGTAAAGATTCACGATTGTGGCGTCCTAGAAATCCTGCGAGACTTCTCCTTGACGCCACATCTCCCGGAAGAGCGCAATCAGGTGATCCGTGAGGTGGGGGGCGCCGTGCTTGTAAACCTCAGCGGGATCACGTCAGATTCGGGTGCTTTTCCGTTGGAGAGCTGCTGCACGGCCCTGGTGGTTTCCTGGAGGGAGGGCGGGAGGCTGAGGTCCAAGTTGGTTTCCACTTGCGGCAGACAGGCGATGGCGGCGTCGGAGATGGTGGAGGAGCAGCTGAGGACGCCTCGGAAGTGTACGGCCCAACCACTCGGTGATTAGGGTGCTGTCGTCGGCACTAAGAAGAGGAGCGGTGCCTTTGGTTGGCGGAACGTGGACAGCTTTGATCTCGGAGGAGACGTTCTTTCATTCGTTGCGATCTGCGTATCCTTGGATCTCCTCGGCCTTCCGATCCGTCCAGGTGTCCTGCATCTCGCGCAGTTGCTGTTGAACGAGGCGACGACTACGGTAGAATGCAGCTCTGTTGTCGTCAGTGGGGCGGCCGACGTAGTCTCTGTACGTGCGGTTCTTCTCGGCGAGCAGGTTGCTGTTGGTGACGTTGTGGTCCTCGAGCCAGTCCTGATGTTGGCACCGTGAAAGACAGAGGACGGCCGCCGCCTTCGAGTGGACTGTGGCTCGCAGTTGACACCATCGGTTCTCCACGGAGGCGTCTTCGTCAACGGCGTCGGCGACTGAAAGGTTGTCTATGAATAATAATTTTTTATTAAATACCCGTCGGGGTCCCATGAAAGCAAGTAAAAATAAATGTACATGCGAATTTGAGACGAAGTATTCTGAATCTGTACAAAATGCAATTTATAGTTTCTGAATTAGTCGTCCATTGAGAAAAATGACTAGCGAAACGTGAAAAAAACTCAACACAAAAATTTAAAAATGATTGGATTAATTTTACAGGAGAAGAAAATCCCTCGCTAATAATAACAGAAAAATGCGGGCAGGACTGGCCTTCATGTGGAGGTTTATAACGGACTATAATCGGACATCGTCAGGGCAGAAATAAATGTCAGCCTCGAGGGGTACGTATGCGGGTCGGACAGGACTGGCATGCACGTGGTATTTTGTACGGGATTTATTGTTGTTGTAGGTTTATTGTAACGCCCATTGGGCACTTTCAGTCCCCTTTGAACTGACATCGTCAGGACAGGATTAATACGCCGGATGAGACTATTCGCGTCAAAGAGGCCAGACGAAAGGAACCCAGACGCGATCGGCCACTGTAAGCTTCAAGCCCAGCCGGGGAGTGGCGAAGAAGGTACGACCAAGCTACTAATATACGGCGAATACTGAGGGCTCCGCCGTGAGCGTCGCAGACCGCATGAGGACGAAATGCGGGAGATTACATCAAGAACCACGAAAATCGTTGCGAGGGGATAACGTAGTCCTCCTCCAAGGATGGAGAGTCAGATTTTAATGGCCTTTAATTAATGTGTCCTCCATGACACCCCAACTCCTTTGAGATCCGAATCACACAGCCTTTCTTGTTGTGCTAAATCCTGGTCTTTTGTCAGCGTAAAAAGAGCGCAGTGACGCCTACTTGCGGGTTCGCGTCGTACCAGCCACCTGTACCCGATTCTACTTCCTGTCTTCTGGCCCTGTTTCAACACTGCATGTGACCTTGAGTAAAAATTTCAACACGGATATCATCAAGGCAGAATTCATATGCCGGATGAGGCCATTCATGTCAAAGTGGCGAATTGAAAATCAGCCTCGAGGCGATAGGAACTCAGATGCGACCGGTTACATTCAGCCGAATCCATCCGAGGAGGGGACAAGGGAGATGCGACCAGACTAATAGCATATGCCGAATACAGAAGGCTTCGTCCACAGCGTCGATGGAGCGCGTTCTGTGAGGGCACGATGCATGAACTGAAAAATTGGAAAAATTAACATTTCTGAGGAGGAAACTTAGGAAGCGATACGACTCAAAAAAGAAGGAAATGTGAGCAGATACGGAAATTTAATGGCGGCGTCCTATATTCCAGGTGCCTCTTTCTCAATGTCATAGAGAAAGTTGTCAGGGAAGGATGAGGATAATAAAAGTTTGCTCGAAACATTATTGAGATGAAGGCACAGCCTTCTCTCAAAAAGTGTATAGATTAACTGAAGATCTCATATTAATTGGAAGATCATCCGAGAGGAAAGTATACCTGGACGCGAAAAAAAGGGAGCGCTTAGAGGTGGAGAACGCTGGAGGAGGTATAATTAGAGACGAGTTGCGAAGATTGTATGGACGACTACTAGGGGTAAGTGTTGAAATCCGAGGAAAATTTGAACTATGATTAATGCGAAAGAGGAGACAGACGCCCGCTTCTAGTCTTCGAACCCATAAAAAGTTTAGGTTAATTAGCTGGCATCTATCTGAGTAGGAGATATTTGGATGTTCCCTGTCTAAAAGTTTTTTAGAAAAACGTCTTTGGACATTTTCAATTTTTAAACGACTAGCCTTGTTCATCAAACCAAAGAATGGGCAACAATACTCGAGAATGGGAAGTACAAACATACGAAAGAACCTTAATTTAATTTCAGGAAGATAGAAATTGTAAGAAATAAAGCCACAAATCTGGGCAGTTTTGGCTGTAATTCTGACAGCGTGTGGCGAGAGATCAAGATTATCAGTGTAGCTTAAACCTAAATTCTTGATGGTGGTACATTCAATCATAGGTGTGCCTTGAAATACCACTTGTTTGGGTAGCCTCTCAGGCCCAAAACACATATAGCGACATTTAGACGAGAGAATTCCATGAGCCATTTTGAGCTCCAAGCTGACAGCGCAAGCAAGTCAGCATGGATTTGCTCCTGGCAATGAAGGCTCGTAGATTCATTGAAAGAATATACACATTTGAGATCATCTGCATAAATAAATGATTGAGAATGTTTACCTGCCGCCGAGATATCATTTTTGTAAAGCAGGAACAAAAGAGGACCTAAAACAATGCCTTGTAAGACACCACATACAATTGGGCTTTCTCTGGGAAGTGAAGATCCCACCAACACCTTTTGTTTACGATTAGGCAGGTATGACTTGATGAAGTCTATTAGTGGACTGGGAATTCCCAGAGCTTCTAATTTAACTAAGAGTCTTTTATGTGGCACTTTATCATAGGCTTTGCTAAGATCAAAATAAAAAACGACAACAGATAGATGGTCCTTACGAAGAGAAATAAGTAGATTGAGAAACGACAAATGACATGTTTCGCAAGAGCGATCTGGTAAAAAACCATGCGGGGAAGTGTTAATAAATTGATTGGCTATGCAAAAGTCGATAATTTTTAAGGCGATATTTTTTTCAAAGGTTTTAACGAGAGAAGGTGTTTTATGGACACCTCGATAGTTCTGAACGTCAGAACGACAGCCGGACTTGAATACAGGAATAATAATAGAAGTTTTCCAATAGTCAGGAAAGAAGCCATTTATGAGAACTATTGAAAAGAGTTTGCTAAGCAGAGGAGGAAAATCTCTTAGCTGTTTTATCAAAGAGTTTGGGATATTGTCCGTACCTAATAAGTGAGAGTTAGGAAGGTGGTTTATCAGTTTTTGAATCCTTTCAGGAGAAACATTAATGCTGCTGAGAGAGGCATCAGACAACGAAGGAATTAAAGGGATTTGTTCAGTTTCAGTGGTGAAATGTTTAGCAACGAAT